CTATAGTATCAAAAAATGTGAACTACTTAGGGATAAATCTGACCAAAGGGTTATAAAAAAAAAAAACCTGTACACAATAAACTACAAAGTAATGTCTAGAAAAATTAAAGAAGACCTAAATAAATGGACAGATCTATCATTCTTATGGATTAAATGTCTCAATATTATCAATTCTCCACCAAATTAATACATACACTCAACGCAATCCCAATGAAAATGCTATTAAGCATTCTCATATAAATTGGCAAACTGACTCTAAAATTTATATGGAAAAGCAAAAGACCTAAAATGGTGAAAATAATTTTGAAAAAGAACCAAGTTGACGCTATCCCATTCCAAGACTTATTATTCAGCTACAGTACTTAAATATAGGCATATTTACCAGTCTAGAAATTAACCCATAGATAAGGCCAATTGAGTTTTGAAAAAAACCCAAGGTAATTCAATCATGAAAAAATAATCTTTCCAACAAATGGTGCCAATACTATTGGATATCCAAATAAACAAACCTCAACTCTGACACCATGCTGCATTACAAAAATTAACTGTAAGTTGACTATAGACCTAAGTGTCTTGCTGGACACAATTTCTAGAATAAAATAGAAGCATATCTTAGTGACCCTGGGTTACACAAAGATTTTTAAACAGGACACAAAAAACACAAATGATAAAAGAAAAAAATGATGAGCTGGACTTCATCAAAATTAAAAACTATACACTTCAAAAGATACTGTTAAGAAAATGGAAAACAAAGTGCCTGGGTGGTTTAGTTGGTTAAGCATCTGCCTTCAGCTCAGGTCATGATCCCAGGGTCCTGGGATCGAGTCCCATGTCAGGCTCCCTGCTCAGAGGGAGCCTGCTTCTTCCTCTCCCTCTGCCGTTCCCCCTGCTTGTGCTCTCTCTCTCTCAAATAAATAAATAAAATTTAAAAAAAGAAAATGGAAAAACAACCCCAAAACTGGAAGAAAACATTTGTTGTATAAAGGATTCTTACAACTCAAGATTAACAACTCAATTTTTTTTTAAATGAGCAAAGATTTGAAGAGACATATCCCCAGAGAAGACATTGATGGCAAATAAGTCATTAAAAGATACTCAAAATCATTAGTTACTAGAGAAACACAAATTAACTCACAGTGAGATACCAGTATGCTCCTACCATAATGGCAAAAACTAAAAGACTGACCACACCAACTGTTAATGAATGGAAATCTCATACAATGCTGGTGGGAAGGTAAGATAGAGCAACTCTGGAAAACAGTTTGATAATTCCTCAAAATGTGAAACATACATCTACTATATGACCTAGCCATTTCACTCATAGGTATTTACAGAAGAGGTATTAAAGCCTAGGTCCATACAAAGACTTGTACATAAGTGTCATAGCAGCTTTATTTGTAACAGCCAGAACCTGGATATAACTCAGATGTCCATCAACAGGTGAATGGATAAGGACATTTTGGTATGTGCAAACTACAACAATAAAGAGAAACTACTGATACACACAATGTTGTGGATGAATGTCAACATTATCATATGGAGTGAGAGAAGCCAGGCACAAAAGAGAATCATTACATGATTCCATTTATTAGAATTCTAGAAAACTGACTTAGCTTCTTCGTCAAAAGTGACAAAAAGCAGATGTAGGGTTGCCTAAGGAAGGGTTCAGAGGAATGGATTAAAAAAAGACGTGGGGAAACTCTTAAGGAGGACAGAAATGTTTGTTATCTTGATTGTGGTGATGGTTTCACAGGTATATGTCACAATTAATCAACCATACACTTTAAATATGTGCAGCTTATTATACATCAATTACACCTCAAAGCTAATTTTTTAAAAGTTTATCCCAATTCTGTGAAGTTATATCTGTGATGATTCCACATTATATCTCCTATGATAGCCTTTTTGAGGACAGGATCATTCATCAGTAAATATTCTTTAACGGACTAAATTAATTCAATATTGAAAGACTTTCCCCTACATAAATAAAGTATACAACACAGAGTACAGGCCTACTTGGATTCCAATAGGTGTGGTGGACAGACTGCAGATGGCCCCCAGGATTCCTGCCTCCTGGTATTCATGCCCTTATGCATGGTATCTGTCACTAGCTTCTAAGCCATAAAATACAGCAAAGGTGAGAGAATGTATGTGATTATGTATACACGATCACATACACACCCATTGTAGCACTCTCACTCCCTTGCTGGCTTTGAGGAAGCAGGCAGCCAGGGTGGCAAAGCCAATATACCAAGGAACTGTGAATGGCCTCTAAAGGCCAAGGGCAGCCTCCAGCCTCCAGCCAGCAAGAAACTGAAGCCCTCAGTCCTACAGCCTCAAGAAACTGAATCTGCCAACAAGCATGTGAGTTTAGAAACAGACCCGTCCCCAGTTGAGCCTCCAGATGAACACCCAGCCCTGACTGATACATTGATACCAGGCTTCCACAAGACCCACCTAAGCCATGAACTAACCCACAGAGACTGTGAGATGACAAATGTGGGTTGTTTTAAGCCACTAAGTTTGTGACAATATTGTTTACGCAGCAGTAGATAATTCACTGGGTCTGTATGGAGGGAGAGCAGGGGAGGAGCAGAGTAGAAAAAGGGGAAATGCATTCAATATTCTTATAGTATTTTCTACATCCAAGTACAATGATTAAATTATTATCAACCACAAGATAAAAAAAATAGTCGGAGTTAGAGGAAATCAAATTATTTCTTTTAGCTCTACTTTGGCTGAAAGAGAAAAAGTGAAGAAACATATAAGTAGCTAACTTTAAGGCATGCCATATGTAAGTTGTAACACATCTTGTAAAACAAATGAATAAATGCAAGTGAAAAGAACTGGTCAAAAACCCTTTAATTTACTTCCACCGTATATTTTGTTCTGCTTTTCAATAATGAGCACATTAGCATTTAAGAATTGTAGCACAATCATTGAAATGCAAGCAAAGCCTTTTAATCATCTTCACTCACCACCCCTCTGGGAGGAATAAGAGCTTGCCAGAGGACAACCTACTCCATCTACTTCTCTTCAAAGACTCCAAAGAGAAGGACATTCAATTACACCACCTTCGGCACCTTCAGGCACTCTGAAACACCATAGTTAGCTGTCTCTGTTGGAAATGCAGGAATATATGTATTCTCCTATGATTTTTAAAAAGCTAGCTACCAGTGCCGTTGTACACTCTTTTCCAGTCCCCAGCAATCATTCCAATAGGGCGTCTGTGAGGTGCAGAGGCAGTTAGGGTTTGTGTAGTTGTCTGGTTTTCTGTGACTATAATCCCCAAGCCTGGCAAGGATCGTGATAAGTAGCCCGGGCAAATCATCACTGTCAGAAGTTCTGTTTTCTGCTTTGGTAGATTTTCAGAAGAAATAATTGGGATACCATGGGCAATTAATGTGGTCTCTACTTTCTCTCATGTTTTTTGCAGTGTGTGGATTTTGGTTTTTGCTGTAATGTGGCCTTATAAATTAGGTTAAAAAGGAAGTCACTGGAAATGAGGATGTCTGAGAAAAATGATATAATATTTAGTGTTCGTGCTGCTGACCAAGACACTTGGCTTAAAATAAATGATTTTATGAGTAAAAAATTTGTTATATAAAACCAGATAAAATAATTTAAATTCTTATAATAAAATGAGGGAAATGATCTTGCAAACATTTTTAACTTGTCTAAACATACACATATTTAGAATACGAAAGCCTTATATAGTATACATACAATACACAAAAATAATTCCACATACTGTATAGGCTTATGTCTGACCTGAAATTAATATGCTAGCCAAAATCAACATTTCAGTATTTAACAAAAATTACTTGTCTTCAGAGAATTTAGATAAATGTTATATGTATATGGAAGTCAGGCAAGGGAATGATGGGTGATGGCCAAGTAGTATATGTGGGCAATCTCATTTTTTTTTTAATTTCAAAAGTAATTGAAACTAATCTTCCTTTTTCTTTCAGTAAATTACCTTTTAACAAATTTAGTCATATACAAAGTGGGGCCATTCCTGGTAAAAATAAGTAAAGTAAGCAAATAACCAAATGTTAAGAGCATCAAGAAATTTGAAGGCATTACTAAGAAATTTATTTTTATTTTTTCTTAAGCAGACTCCAATGCAGGGCTTGAACTCATGACCCTGAGATCAAGATCTGAATGGAGATCAAGAGTCAGACGCTTAACCAACTGAGCCACCCAGAGACCCAGAAATTTCTTTAGAATACTTTAAGAAAAAGAAATCTTTTAAGGATTACCCATCATTATTTGAACATTTTCTCTATATTAATAAGCATGTGTGTGCCAGAAAGATAAAGAGCAGGGATGAGAGAGAGAGATGTTAATTGATTGCATACATGAAATGAAAATAAGTTTCTTTTTTTTTTTTAAGATTTTATTTATTTATTTGACACAGAGAAAGAACTAGCAGGGGGAATAGCAGAGGGAGATGAAGAAGCAGGCTCCCCACTGAGCAGGGAGCCAGATGCGGGGCTCGATCCTGGGACCCTGGGATCATGACCTGAGCCGAAGGCAGATGCTTAACCGACTGAGCCATCAGGCCCCCTGAAAATACGTTTCAAAGAAGCACCTATGAGGCAAGCTTGTAAGGGTCTGGTAGAAAACAGAGCAGTGATGGAAAAGTTAAAGGACTGACCATGTGGATGAGATTCAGAACTCCCAAATTTTTAATTTTTTTGGCTTTCTTCCCTCTTCTGCAGCCTGCTTCTATCACTGCCCAGCAAGCACCTGCAGCACGGTGTCCTCCGGAAGAAACAATAAAGGGAAGGTTAAGGCCTTCAGGAAGAAGGACATGACTCATAAACTTCATGACAGTCCTCCAAGGAAAGTAATGAAATATTCATCTCCCTGCAGTGCCTGGCCTCTCTAATGGGAATGAAGAGCTGTGTGAAGAGGCTGTGACAAAGGATGCAAAATGGCAGAGACCACCAAGATGGCCCTCCTAGCGCCTCTCTGTCAGACCTCCATTTGCTCACCTTTTCCAGAAGCCGGATATTATCCCACACCTTGCTGCACACCATACACTCAAATGCATCGATGTAGTTGTCCTGGTGGACATCTTGCACTCCCCATTTCCGTTCCCTGAGTGCTGCAAGAAGTCGCGGATTAAAGACCTCACCCTTCAGCTTCCATTCTATGTAGGCCTCATATAGTCTGTCATCATGATCCAGTTGTCTGATGTAACTTGCTAGTTCTCTAGGGTGAGCAAATTCTGATACGAGAATAGCACTTCTATTACTCGGGAGCCAGTCTGCAATGCTGGGGGACCCATAATACACAGGGACCACCCCCAGTTTCAGAGGTCTCCAGAACTTCTCAGTGATGTAGTCGTCACACACTGCGTTCTCAAAGGCAAGAATAAACTTATACTGTGCGATGATCCTATAAAAGCCATCGGCATCCATAGAGGCTGGATTTTTCAGCTGCTGAGGGAGATCTTTGTTTCGTAAACACTCACCATAGGAATCGACCTCGATGTAAGTCATCAGCTCTCGAACATAGCTGTCCCTGTCTGACGGCGGGTCACAGTCTGACTGGACGTACACCAGTGGAGCAAGTCTTCTTCGAAGGTTGTTTTTGGACCTCAAAGGGACCAGGTATCGGCGTGACTTCAGGACTTCTACACCCTCCAAGTACTGGGTGGTCAGGGGCAAGTGGGAATGCCGGCTGAACGTGGCAGTGTAGTTGAACAAGGTGATGACTGGCTTGTGGAAGAGCTTATAATTGTTTTTCGGAGACTCTTCGTGAAAAAGGGCCCAGTCATGATGGGCTTTCCGAGGCAGAGGTAAGCTATCTATATTAAAATCAGTGCCTAGAAGAAGAAAAGAAAATATTAGTACGTGCAAGAGAATTTTAGTGTCCAATTTTAGAGTCTACCTGGTAAGATTAGAATACAGAGAAGTCTGAAGCTACAAAGAAGCATGTCACAGTGTTGGCAAAGTGCCTGGCAGTCAATCGTGACTCATTCACCCTAGAAACTGCTCAGGGAGAGGAGCACCAAGGAGAGGGACCCTCTTTCTGATTTTATGTTAAGAGAAATGGGAGTAGTGTCTAGCCTGGTTCTAAAGGGAGAATTTATTCCACTGCCTCTGGCAATTGGTTTTTCTTCCCAGAAGTGTTGTCTAAGAGAGGGCAGGAGAAATAAAGAAATATGGGGGCCTGGGTGGCTTAGTCGTTAAGCATCTGCCTTCGGCTCAGGTTATGATCCCGGGGTCCTGGGATCGAGCCCCACATGGGGCTCCCTGCTTGGCGGGAAGCCTGCTTCTCCCTCTCCCACTCCCCCTGCTTGTGTTCCTGCTCTCATTATCTCTCTCTGTCAAATAAATAAATAAATAAATAAATAAATTCTTTAAAAAAAGAAAGAAAGCAATAGACAATTCTTATAAAAAAGAAAAGAGCAAGAGAAAGAAAGCCAAAAAGGGGAAAGCAACCAGCCTGGCAGATTGGTGCACTGAAAAAAAAGTGAAATCATGCAGAAGTAGCCAGAATAAATATGCAGGATAGATTTTTTTTTCATCCAAAATGATCGATTTCAACGAAGTGTAGTGAATCAATCACAGTCAAAATGGTAGACAAGAGGCTTTTAAAGACAAAACGGCTGATAATAGCACTATGCTACAGACCACTGCAGGATGGACATGAATTAACCAGCACATCAAGAAATAAAGAAGGCATAACAGGATTATAATTATGAGTGATTCTAGCTTCCACAGGATTAATTGAGAAACCTTTGAAACATGATCATGTGCAGACAGAAGTGATGGATGTGGTGAACAGATGTTTCCTGACAGCGTGGATGGAGACTCAATCAGGAAGACGTCATTTCTATAACCGAGAAACGATTAAGACAATACCGCAATATGTAACACCAAATTTCTAAAATGTTTCTGACACTGAAGATTCTGTGGCCCCTGATTTGAGTTTTTAAATGTAAGGAAATGGCCAAAAAAAAAAAAAAAATCCATCTGCCACCCTTCACTGGGGGGAGAGAAAGGCCCAAATAAATGCTTCCAATGTAATAAAACATATTCTCTGGTAGAATTCATAACAATTAATTATTTCATGCTCGTGCACACTCTCTCAAATAAATATATACTCTTTGGTGCCAACAGTACATCAATGAGAAATCAATTAATCAAGAAAGGCTTTTAAACAATTAAAGACTGAATAAAATTATGTTGGAGGACATATACTGAGCACAGAGAAGTTGCTGAACAAAGTACGACTGTCTTGATACCAGGCTTTTATTCTCAATGATCAGGAATGAAAGACTAACATATAAAAGTGGTTATGTATTCATTTACTTAGCATTTGCTATATTTGCCCTTTAGCATCAAAAAGAATGCTCATCTACACACCTGCTATGTAATGACATATAGAGTTAAGTGGTCAGAAAGGTTAACAGACAAACGTGAAGACATGAAAGAAAAGCGAATTTGAGGAGAAAAGCAATTTATTGCATGAAGTGGTTGCTGGTCAACTGGCCAAGGATGGGAACAGGAACCCACCCACTTGAGTTAGAATGGAAAGTTTCCACTGAAGGCAGAACAAAAATCCAGGCCGTTTGCCTGGGATAGGAAGAACTAGAGTCCAATCCACAGGAGTCAGACGAGGGATCAAGATGTAAGATTAAGATTGGAGGGGTATGGGGACGCCTGGATGGTTCAGTCAGTTAAGCTTGTGCCTTCGGCTGCAGTCATGATCCCAGGGTCCTGGGATCGAATCCCGCAACGGGCTCCTTGCTCAGCAGGGAGACTGTTTCTCCCTCTACGTGCCACTCCCCCTGCTTGTGCTCTCTCGCTCTCTGTCTCTCTCTGACAAATAAATAAAATCTTAAAAAAAAAAAATTGGAGGGGTATGATTAAAACAAAAGTGGGTCTAGAATTGGGGGGGAGCAGGCACAGGTGTCTTGAGGGAGTGACTCAGACCCCAGTGGCTGTCCGCTGCTGCTATATGGCACATGCGTGATTCTTTCTTTGCCTCACCCTGGGTGTGCCACAGCAAAGACCCAAAATGCAGAGCAGGGAAGCAGCAAGACACGCCTGCCTCCTGTGCTTTGGAGAATGGAGAGGGCCTGGGTTTCATCTCTGCTCATCCACATCAGTAAAGTTTAACAGGCACTAAAAATGGCTATGTGTAGACCTTTCTGTGGCCAGTTTCTAGGTCCGCTCAGATTGTATTGATAATATGAATAGGACTTGAAACTGGTACCAATTATGAGCCATGAGCCCTTCATTCATGATAACTAGGAGATGAGAGCTTACCAGCTCATTATACCTTCAGCCAAGTTGCTACTGGAACCTCAATGTTGGAAGGAAGGGAAGAAGATCGCAGGGTCCCTTCCATATGCAATCTATGGTAGTAAAAGAAGCCTGCAGAATCTAAGCAAGAAACATTTATTTACATTCATGCTCTAAAAAAAAACACAGCTAACTGAACATGATAAAAATACATGTAAAAACATAATATAAATAAATAAAATCTTTATTTAAAAAGGTGGGGAAAAAGAACACAGCTTTTTTTTTAAATGAGTGTGAGGTTCTAGTACATCCATCTGAATTCTGTTTAGTTTGTAGGAGTGGGGTCATCTTTAAAAGTGGGGGAATGCCTCTTTAACAGAGAAGCAAATTATGCCACTTGCAATGACATGGATGGAACTGGAGGGTATTATGCTGAGCGAAATGTCAATCAGAGAAAGACATGTATCATATGACCTCACTGATATGAGGAATTCTTAATCTCAGGAAACAAACTGAGGGTTGCTGGAGTGGTGGGGTGTGGGAGGGATGGGGTGGCTGGGTGATAGACATTGGGGAGGATACATGCTATGGTGAGCACTGTGAATTGTGCAAGACTGTTGAATCACAGATCTGTACCTCTGAAACAAATAATACATTACATGTTAAAAAAAAAAGAAGAAGATAACAGGAAGGGAAGAATGAAGGGGGGGAAATTGGAACGGGAGACGAACCATGAGAGACTATGGACTCTGAGAAACAAACTGAGGGTGCTAGAGGGGAGCGGGGATGGGGGATGGGTTTGCCTGGTGATGGGTATTAAAGAGGTCACGTACTGCATGGAGCACTGGGTCATGGAACACTACATCAAAAGCTAATGATGTAATGTATGGTGATTAACATAACATAATAAAAAAAATAATAATTAAAAAAAAACAGAGAGGCAAGTTAAGAAGACCTAACTTTCCAGAAACATTTCCCATTATTTGTTACCTTAAAAAGTATTTCCTAGCTACTTCCCTACGATACATACATAATACAAACAGACATACAGATACATCCAAAATCACATTAAAATAGATTTTTTAATCAGATTCTTCCAAACTAAAATTTTCTGGGAAAGATTTAAAAAATATGGGCGCCTGGGTGGCTCAGTCGGTGAAGCGTCTGCCTTCGGCTCAGGTCATGATCCTGGGGTCCTGGGATCGAGTCCCGCATCAGGCTCCTTGCTCTGCGGGGAGCCTGCTTCTCACTCTCCTCCCCACTTGTGCTCTCTCCCACTATCTATGTCTCTCCCTCTCAAATAAATAAAATCTAAAAAGAAAAATTAAAAAAAAATAAAAAATATGGCATTTTGCCCAGTGAGCTCCTCCCCTAAACCTACAGCTTCAGATTGTTAACACTTGAGACTACTGAAATGAGAAACATAACAGACTTAAAATACAGTTGACCTTTGCATAACACAGACCTGAATGTCATGGGTCCACTTACATGTGGACTTTTTTCAATAAATACAGTATACAGTACTGTAAATGTATTTTCGTTTGTTTTTTTAAAATTTTTTATTGTTATGTTAATTACCATACATTACATCATTAGCTTTTGATGTAGTGTTCCATGATTCATT